AATTCACTAAAGGATAAATACCTAATTATCCTAACAATATCAAATAACAAAGCTACTCAAGATAGAGTCATTATCTCAACAGAAAGGAAGTCGAATCCTACCGCAACTGGTATATCTACACAAACCCTAGAGGTAACCCTTATAAATAAGAGGCCAAAGACCCTAGGTATACACTTTTTGACCTATTTTACTATTACTGCCAACACTGTGCACACACCCACGTCTTGGCTATAAGCCTATTGCTTATGCGCAGTGATTGGAGAATTGGCTATAAGCCAATTCAAATACCTATCCTTAAGGTATATCTGAGCGCATATCATACGGTATAGCAATACGGTCTTCTAGGATCTAACATTGGCGCCATCTGTGGGAACGTTAAATTTTGATTCCTATTCCACGATGACGAACACCCGTTCGCAGCAACGCTCAACCTCTACCGTCGTTGCATCAGTCTGCCCTCGGACACCTCCAATTGATTGCAGAACCAGTGCTGGTGGAGGTGCAAGTCGGAGAGGTCGGCACCGAGCAACCACCCTTCGTGACCCAGGGCAACCCAGTAGCGGAGCCTGCACGTCCACCTCCGCATAATGACCAGCCCAAAAGTGAGGATCACGTGGTCAATACCGCCATAAACGCAATTCTTCAAAGGATGCAAGAAATGAAGAACAAATTTCTGGCTCAATAAAGGCTGAATGCCCAGAGGATGGAGGCATTTGAGGTCGAGTTGTGAAACCAGAACGCTAAAGGCCGAGCTGGAAGAGCAGGCCCAGAAGTCCGAGATGGAAGAGCAGGCCCAGAAGGCCACGCTGGAAGAGCAGGCCCAGTTCAAACTGAAGGGCCAGAACATCAGAACTCGGCAGCTGAAAATGTCTGAGATCCTCGCAACGACAACCAGCATGAAGGCGGAGGACAGGGCAACAACCAACGAGATAACTATCTCCATGATGAAGAGGCTAATGATAACCCGTTTACTGAGAAGCTCATGAACTTGACAATTCCACCGAGATTCAAAAGTGCCAAGATCCCCCCATGACGGAAGTCAGGATCCAGACGCTCATCTAGAGGCATTCAAGATCGAGATGTTGTTCAACGGGATAACTGGACCTATTAAGGCCAGAATTTTTGCTACGACCTTGACAGGTCAGGCAATGGCGTGGATAACCCGGCTCCGCAGGAACTCAATCAATTCATTTGAGGACCTGGCTCGAACTTTCCGCCTAAACTTCGCCACCAATAAAGCTCATCCCATGTCGGCCTATGCTCTAGGAAGAATCTGATAAAAGGAGAATGAATCATTGCAAAAATATCTCGATCGATGCAGCCCTCAAAGTGCGAAATCTAACCGAGCCAGTCCACCTGCACTTAATCATCTCAGGATTAGATGGAGACTCTCCACACGCAAAATCCATCTATAAGAACTCGGTCAATGATCTGGAGGAATTTCGACGAAGGTCGGACAAATACATCGACATTGAAGACATGCAGAAGGCTTATGGTGAGTCCAGGGGGCAGAGTCTGAACCACCAGAGTCCAAGCAAGAAAAACAAGGATAGAGATCAGCGAGGGTCAAAGAAAAGAACCAACTCTCGTGACAAGAGGTCGGACGAACGATATCCGAGGACCAAATACGATAGTTACACACCATTAAACATATCCAGATCTCGGATATGGAAAGAAGTGGCTCAAACCGAAATGCGTAATGTCGAAAGGCCTCGGCCCCTCAAAAGCAAGGGCGGTTTGGACAGAAACAAATATTGTGCTTTTCACGATCAGAATGGCCACACTACGGATGACTGCTGGGATCTTCAAGATGCCATTGAGAAGCACATCAGAGAAGGAAAGTTGAAGCAATACATCATCCAAACTTGGGGAAAGAAAAATGGCAAGCGAAGGCAGAGAAGCCGGAGCAGAAGTTATAGCCCGAAGAGGGAGGAGAGGAAAGATCGTCAACAAGACCGCCCTCCTAAGGGCAAGAAGGTCGAAGACAAAGATGAGGAGTTCCACGAAGCTGACTTTGAATGCAATGTGATAAGCAGAGCCTTGGGTGAAGGAGGCGACACTGCAAATGCTAGGAGAAAATACCTAAAGGAAGTCATGTTGGTTAGAGACAGACTAACCTTCAAAGGAAGAGCTAGTAAGCCCGCCCCTCCAAGGTTGTTCTTTACTGAAGAAGACCTAGAAATGGTCGTTCCTGGACATACTGATGGTCTAGTAATAACCAGGGTGCTAGTTAACTGCCGGGTTAAAAGAATCTTCCTCGATTACGGAAGTTCGGCTGACATACTTTTTTGGAGTGCTTTCCAAAATATGAATTTGGATGAGCAAGATCTGAAACCGTGCATCATCGAGCTAGTTGGCTTTAATGGAGAACCATCTCCCCCAAAGGGCTATATAGACTTAAAGTTGACTTTGGGAACAAAAGAAGCATTTCGAGCTGGCAGAGTTCGGTTTATAGTAGTAGATGCACCATCCTCCTACAATGTAATTATTGGCCGGCCTATGATCCATGAGTGGGACATGTTAGTTTCCACCAAACACCAAGCATTGAAGATGGTGGGGTCAAAGAACGAGGTCATCACCATAAGAGGAGATCAAAGGGAATCTAGAGAATGCTACTATGAAACACTGAGAATCATCCATAAAGGGCCATCATCTCCTCCTATAATTAAAAATGGAAGTAAATCCGCCATCAGAGACCAATCGATGTACCCATGTGGAAACCAAGTAAATCTGGTCGAGTTAGATATGAGGGAAGAGCTCCAAGCACCTCATCCAGAGCCCCAAGGAGAGCTGGAAGATGTCAGCATTGGGGAGGACAAAAAACGACATACCAAGGTTGAAAAAGGCCTGGAGGACGAGGTAAAAAAGACACTGATCTCGTTTCTCAACGAGAATTCTGACGTGTTTGCATGGAAGGCATCGGAGATATCGGGGATAGATCCAACATTTTGTTGTCACAAGCTTTCTATGTACCCCGGATCAAAACCAGTCTCCCAAAAGAAGAAAAAAATGAGCCCTGACCGACGTCAGGCTTTGAATGAGCATGTGGACGAGCTATTAGAGGCTGGTTTCATTAGAGAAATAAAATACACCACATGGCTCTCCAACGTTGTGATGGTAAAGAAACCTAGTGGGAAGTGGAGAATTCGTGTAGACTACACCGACCTCAATAAGGTCTGCCCAAAGGATTCGTATCCAATGCCTAACATAGATCAGCTAGTTGATAATTCATCAAAATTTCAACTACTATCATTCATGGATGCGTACTCCAGGTATAATCAAATTCCACTGCATCCAGATGATCATGAGAAGACAGCTTCATATCTGGAATGGGGAACTTCTGCTACAATGTCATGCTATTCGGGCTCAAGAATGTCAGGGCAACCTATCAAAGAATGATGAATTGTGTCTTCCAAAGTCAAATTGAAAGAAACCTGAAAGTATACATTGATGACATGATCGTCGAGTCCATGCACACAGCCAGACATGTGGCCGACCTAAAAGAGACCTTCGAGCAATTGAGAGCTCGGAGAATTAGACTAAACCCAGCCAAGTGTGCTTTTGGGGTGCCAGCTGGAAATTTCTTGGGCTTCATGCTCACCAACAGGGAATTGAAGTTGACCTCGACAAATGCAAGGTCGTCTTGGAAATGAAAGAACCAAAGAACAAAAGAAAGATCCAGCAGTTGGCAGGTCATCTTGCAGCCTTAACTAGGTTTTTACCAAGATCGACAAAGAAATCTCTGCCTTTCTTCAAGCTCCTGAAAATGAGGCAAAGTTCGGATGGGGAGAAGACTGCAAGGCATTTGAAGAAATAAAAAAGTTCCTAGCTTCTCCACCAGTGCTGTCAAAGCCGCAACTCGTAGAGACATTGATCTTGTATCTCCTTGTGGGTGAAGAAGCCATTAGCGCCGCCCTGGTAAGGGAAACAGACAGGGGACAACAGTCGATGTACTTTGTAGGGCGAACATTGCAAGGATCTGAGCTCCGATATCAGAAGCTCAAAAAGGTGGCATTCGCCTTGCTTACCACGGCAAGAAGGCTCCGACCTTATTTTCAAGGGCATCGAGTGATCGTGAGAACCAACCAGCCCATCAGACAAGTATTGCATAAGCCGGATTTAGCAGGAAGAATGATCAATTGAGCTGTTGAACTTTCAGAGTTTGACATATCATATGAACCTCGACATGCAATCAAATCTCAGGCTCTGGCCGACTTCGTATTGGAACTTACTCCCATCTGAGGAAAAGAGCAAGAGAAGGAGGACCTTTGGACTATATATGTCGATGGATCCTCAAACTCCAAGGGAAGCGGAGTTGGGGTGATAATTGAAAGCCCAGATGGGGTGTCCATTGAACACTCGTTGTACCTTGCATTTCTGACCTCAAATAATCAGGCCGAGTATGAAGCTTTCATTGCAAGTATCATACAGGCAAAGGAGCACGGAGCAAGAAGGATAAAAATCCTCAGTGACTCGCAGCTTGTAATCTCGCAAATAGAAGGGAAGTATCAGGCCAAGGAACCCTCATGATGAAATATCTCCAACAAGTTAAGGAACTTTTGGCCGAGTTCAAAGAAGCGGTGGTCCAGTATATACCCCGAAATGAGAATAGCAGGGCAGACATTTTGTCGAAGCTCGCCAACACGAAGGGTTCAGGAAATCATCGAACTGTAATACAGCAAATCATCCCAGAGCCGACTTGCGTGATGGTCATAACTGATAATGAAGACTGGAGAAGGCCAATAGTAGCCTACCTGGAGAAAGGAGTTCTTCTTGACGAGGTCCAAGAGGCCAGAAAGCTCGTGAGGAACTCGGCTTGTTACACTATAGTAGAAGGGCAACTCTATAAAAAGGGTTTTTATACACGTATGCTCAAGTGCCTGAATCAAAGTGAGGCAGACTATGCTTTGACCGAGATCCATGAGGGCATCAATGGGCATCACATGGGAGGAAAAGCTTTAGCCAGGAAAGCACTCAAGGCAGGATAGTACTGGCCCACCATGGAAGCGGATGCAAAGGAGCATGTCAAAAGATATGAACAATGTCAAAAGCATGCACTCATCCTTCATGCACTTCTTGAGGAGTTGCAAACCATCACGGCACCTTGGCCGTTCTACAAATGGGGGATGGACTTGTTTGTCCTTTCACTGCAGCTCAAGGGCAACTCAAATGGTTGATAGTAGTTGTAGACTACTTCACCAAGTGGATTGAGGCCGAACCCTTCACCACCATAACCTCGACAAGGATTCAAAGATTCTTTGAAAGAAATCTGATAAGCTGATTTGGAATTCCAGTTGAAATCATCACGGACAACGGAACATAGTTCGCTAACAAAAAGTTCCAAGAGTTGATGGCCGATTTCATAATCAAACATCGGTTCGCATCAGTGGAGCACCCCCAAACAAATGGACAAGCTGAGTCAGCTAATAAGGTGATCATCAACGGCCTCAAGAAAAGGTTGTTTGATGCTAAGGGAAATTGGGTACAATAATTACACCTCGTCCTATGGGGATATAGAACAAGTGCCCAAACCTCTATAGAGGAAACTCCATTCAAGCTAACATATGGATGTGAGGCTATGATCCCAGTAGAGATCGGAGAACCATCCTGGAGGAGGGTGCAAAGATTGCAAGGAACTGAGGAAAAGAACAGTGAGGGATTGGCTGTAGAGCTCGACTTACTGGATGAAAGCAGGGAGAATGCCAGATATAGAAATATGATGGCAAAGCGCCTTGTGACGACGAGGTTCAATAAGAAGGTCAGACCTCGGTCATTCCAGAATGGTGACTTAGTGCTAAGGAGGGCTGACATCGACAACAAGAATGCTAGAGATGGGAAGCTCACCGTGAATTGGGAAGGCCCCTACAGAGTTAAGGAAAACCTGGGAAGAGGAGCCTATACATTAGAAACCATCTCTAAGAAGTCGGTTAAGAGATCTTGGAACGCAAATAAGCTTAAGGCTTACTACAGGTAGGCTCCAAATCTGACATCCAAGAAATTGTAAAGAGATTTTAATTCTATGCAAATAAGACGAGCTTCTAAGCCCAGTCAATAGATAGATTTTAATTCTATGCAAATAAGACGAGCTTCTAAGCTCAGTCAGTATATAGAGTTTATTTCTATGCAAATAAGACGAGCTTCTAAGCTCAGTCATGTAACTAGATTTCAGTTAAATGCAAATAATATGAGCTTTGATCTCAATCTTAATGCATATCGATTTCTATTCAAATAATAAAAGCCTTCGAGCTTAATGATCTAAAAAGGAATACCTTTTGTTGGCGAACAAAACTTATTCTAAATTGATCAAAATAATCTAGTTAACTCGGCAACTATAAGTCAGAGTGCAATAAAAACAAGATCAGAATTGAACCTCGCGACACGAATAGAATGGGAAGTAAATCGAAGCAATGATCTCGGAAATATGAATAACAAATTAAAATTGCAAGTCAAAAAGCCGACGTATAGTGGCAAAGATGTTCATACAAACTTAAAAAGAGGATCAAAGGCCCAAAATATAGGTACATCATAAAAGTTGGCATTCTGACCTCTTTCATTCTGCATCACGAAGGAGAACAGTTTCATTGGCCTCGGCCTCGGCTTCCTCCTCCTCAGGAGATTCGGAACCCGGAGTGCCAGGAACGATGAATTCGTCCTTCACGCCATACAAAACATCCATCCCTTCCGTAATGAGGTCGGGATTTAAAACCCGAGCCTGAGCAATGGCATTCGCAAAGGACTCGACCGCGACAATTATGATGACGGTCCGGGCTTCATAGTCGGCCTGTAGTTTTTGGAATTGAGCATTCTTGTTAGCCAAGGACTCTGAGCAGGCCTCTTTTTCAACATTTAAGTCGTCCACCTTAGCATTAGCCGACGCCAAAGATTTCTTCACCTCCTTCAACTCGGAGGTCAGATCTTGAACCTTCGTCTCCAACTCGTAATTCAATTTATGGAGCTCTTCATGCTTCCCCAAAAGTTCCTCCACCTTATTTGTAAGAGAGGAATTGGAAGCAGTAGACACGTCGAGCCGTTGATGGAGATCTTGAAAGGACTGGATCAGGGAAGCTGTTTTCAAAGCATCTTCCTCCAGCCGAGCCAACATCGACCTATGGTCAGGAGTCAACGGTGAATTACCCATGAGTTGTTGAGGGGGCTTCAAAGCAGCTCTAAATTGATCTGAAACCCCGACTCTCAATAACTCACCGGGCTCTAAAACAACGACGTCCCCTTGAGAAGTAGGTAAAGGGGGCGATGATGGAGGAGGGGTGATCTGAGAAGCGAAGACCTCAGAGGCAGGTGTAGTATCGCCCATGATGAAGGAGCTACCTCCAGACACAACGTCAAGCCGCCTTTTCTTAGTCACCTCGGCTTCGGCGGCGGCTTCATCTATGGCCTTTCCCTTCGAAGAAAACTTCTTGGGTTTGGGAAAAAACTTCTTATATGCAGAGCTCGTCATGCTAACTGCAAAAAAGAGGCAAAATCAGGACACAAGTTAGGAAATAAATACAAGGGAGCCTTGAGTGAACCTTATAAGGGGAATCACATACCAAGCTCTTCAAGAAGATCTTGTTCAAACTTATTTACAATTCGACTTAAGTCGATAATGCCGAATTCGTCGGCATAGCCAACCAGGACGGAAGCCGCCAATCTCTCCGAATCGGAAAGAGCTACTCCTGGGGTAGTATAATCCCTATAGCGCCTTTGATAGTGATTCTGCATCCAATAAAGCTCGAACCAAGACGCCAAATCCCCTCCGTCTAACCATGACGAGACAAACCAAGGGAGAAAATCAGAATGAGCTGCCACCTTGAAATAGGCATTCTTAAAGCCTTTAAGAGATTAGGAATAAGGAATAAAAATACCCCGATTAGGAGCGCCTCGGAGGGTAACCCAGCCTTTCTTCTCCTTAGCTGCGGCCCCAGACCGAGCTGTATATACATTGAACAAATAGAAGAACAAATCAACTGTACAGGGAAGGAAGACATATGCACACACTTGTTCAAAACCTCGGATAAAGGCCCAGGAGTTGGGATGAAGTTGCGTCGGTGCAACTCGGAGCCTATGAAGAACAGAAATATGAAAATCGGAAAGAGGAAATCGAAGTCCAATTTTGGTGATTAAATCTCGGTAGAAAAATAAGTAGTGAAGCTCATCAACATGAGGACCCGCACACACCGGGCTATCACCTACGGGAAGAATATCAACCCCCGAAGGGTCTCCAACAGGAAGTTGGGTTACTTCGGCAAGAGACATGGTGGACCGCATACTGAGAATTTCAAGTAGAACCCAATTTTGGATGTCGGATTCTTCCATGACCACAGAACTGGAACACGAAGGATGATGGTCAGTATTAAAATCAGTTAAATCCAACCTCGGACCATCCAGGTCGGACAACGACGAATTTGGACTCCAAGAAAAAGGGATGGAACTATCGGAACTGCTGTCAAGGTCGATAAAGGCTGCTTGACTTGAAGTCGAATCATAAAATGGGGTAAAAGGGGTCTGGGACCTCAGAAAGCCCAACTCAGACGAAGAAGAGCTAGAAGTTCTATCGCTGAGACCAAGGGGAGGAATCCGATTTAAAACAGATCTCGAACCAGAAGGATCTTGAGAAGAGGGAAAAATATAAGCTAAAAGAACTGAGTTACCAGAAGAACTCGGCTCAATAGGATCAACGAGGTTTGAGACCAAAGAAAGTCCACCCTTGACAGCGACATTACTAAAGTTAAGCTAGGGTTGACGTTCCCCTCTCCCTCTCCTACCTCGTCCTCTCCTACCGCGCCCACCTCAGGAGCTCCGATGACCTCCTCGGTGACCTCGAAGAAGTTATTGGAGTTTCTCTTTCTCAGTATACTCCCTACCATAAAACCAATATTGGACTGACCAGGCAACTGTTTCACTTCCTCTTCATTAATGCGATGTTCATCACCTTGGCCAGCAGCCGAGCCCGAAGGTGAACCAGGAATACTCATAACCAAACTCAAGATTACAGAAGAGAGGAACCCTCTCTCGAAGCAGTCAAATAAAAACCCTCAAGGAGTATGAGTTATTCCCTCAACTTAGTGAGGAACAACCACAAATCCCAGACTCCCAAAATGAAAGAAATGCGAACAATGACAAAATCAAATTGTGAAAAGAAATGAAAGGATTAGAAAGTACCTGAATATTGAGAAAAAGGATGAGGAAAGCTAGACTCAACCCTCGGAGGGCCTTCGTGAAAAATGATTCTGAAGGAACTGGAAAGCTCACTTGAAAGAAAAACACAGAAATGAAAATGCAAAGATAAAATGGTGAAGAAGCAAAAAAATGAAAATAGGAAGTTGTGAACGGACGAGAGAAGGAAAACCTAGAGGCAATTTCAGCCTTGGGCGCGAATATGAAAGGGCCTCAAACGTTTGAGTGGCCAAGGACAAGGGGGTAAAAACACCACCCACAATAATCATGACCTACACAGGCTCATAATGGCGCACGACCCATGATGTACGAACCTCAAATGAGCATAGGACATGTGGAACGTCATAACCGTCATTGCAGGCAAAATGCAGGTCACATTGACGTGATTGAAATCTGATTTGATCTTACCCATGGTGTTATGACAGATTGCCACCACGGCCAAATGTGACCGACCTAAACCTCGACAGAAATAAAGAAAGGAAAAACTTTCCATGTCGGATTCACACCCGAATCAATATAACCAAGGAGGAGCAAAATTTCCAAATAAACAAGCTCGGCCAGATCGAGTCCAAGATAATATCTCAGCACCCCGGCATTTCAAGTTTCAGAATACCGAACTGGGGGGCAACTGTTATGGATATATATCATATTATAACTACCTACCTAAGAATCCACTAAAAAATAAATACCTAATTATCCTAACAATATCAAATAACAAAGCTACTCAAGATAGAGTCATTATCTCAACATAAAGGAAGCTGAATCCTACCGCAACTGGGAGATCTACACAAATCCTAGAGGTAACCCTTATAAATAAGAGGCCAAAGACCCCAGGTATACATTTTTTGACCTATTTTACTATTACTGCCAACATTGTGCACACACCCACGTCTTGGCTATAAGCCTATTGCTTGTGCGCAGTGATTGAAGAAGTGGCTATAAGCCAATCTAAATATCTACCCCTAAGATATATCTGAGCGCATACCATACAGTATAGCAATACGGTGCTAGGACCTAACAGATGGGTTGAAGAATGTTTCGTATATACTTTTTGTTGGTCTTTTCATGATATGTGAGAGGTTATACATTGTCTGTAGTTACATGGTATACTTGGATGAATGTTCACCACTTTATAATTACAATTTTTCTATGGTTTTAGTGTGTATTGCTAATTTCGATCCTACTTAGGCGGCACTATTTACATTTATTTATTGAATAGTTCGTTTGAGATGATGAGAAATTTTATGGCAAGGTTTTTTTTTTATGGTCAACCCAAACCGTACTGACAAAGAATATTTCAAGTTAGTTTGGGTCATCGATAAGACTATACTTATTTTGCTAATTGATAATAAATTTAATCCTGAAACTGGGAAACGTACACTAGTCAACATTAGATCGATAACCATGAATATATGACTTTTTTTATTTGTTTTTAGTGCTACAAGTAGGACAATTACTTAGTAAGGGTGTGCAGTCTAGGATTTTGAATGAAATGTGCACGAAGCCTGCACACGATAAATGCGAGTGTTTGTAGTAGTGCAGTGTTGGTATGTTCAATGATTAAACAAATAATAATTGGGCAAAAGCATTAGATGTGTAATTTGCTTTTGCTTTTAATGTTGTCGAAGCATAGTAACATTCACATATATTTCTCAACTAGGTGGTTTAAAGATCTAATTAAACGAAACCAAATAGGAAACCAGACCAAACCGATTTATAAAAACCAGTTTTTCAAACCAAAATGTTTCCTACTTTTTGGATATAGACTAGATCTTATATTTTAAAAATGGTTTGGATATT